ATGGTATATATGTTCACCCAGGCAAAACATTCATATACACTAAAAACACCCGACACCATTTTTGCATGTTTTCTATCTTACAGCCCAATACTACTCTCTCTTTCTTGTTAAAAACTTTATTTTCAGGGAGCAGGAGGCAAAGCACACCAATACGTCAGAGGCAGAAGCAGGGGGATTTCTGTGAGTTCAAGGCCAGCATGGTCTAGAGTAAATTCCAGAATAGTCAGGATACACTGAGAAACCCTGTCTCAAAATAAACAAACAAACAAAACAGAAACAATTTTGTTTCTAGGTCTGATGAGATGGCTCAGCAGTTAAGTGTACTGGCTGTTCTTCCAGAGGACCAAGATTCAATTCCCAGCTAACAACCCTCTCTAACTCCAGTTCCAGAGGACCCAATGCCCTCTCAGGCTTCTGAAGGCACTGCATGCATGCAGTACAAAGGCAAAGTAAGCATTCACATAAAATATTTTTTTTCACCACCAGCTAGACATGGTGGTGCATATTTTAATACCAGCATTCAAGAGGCAGAGGTATATGGATCTCTATGAGTTCCAACCAGCCTGGTCTACATAGTGAGTTCCAAATCAGTTAAGGCTATATAGTGAGATCTTGCCTTAAAAAATTAATTAAAAGTAAAATAAAAACAAAACTTTCAATTAAAAATACTTTTTTTCAGGGCTGGAGAAATAGCTTAGCGGTTAAGAGCACTGGCTGCTCTTCCAGTGGTTCTGAATTCAATTCCCAGCAACCACATGGAGGCTCACAACCATCTGTAGTGAGATCTGATGCCCTCTTTTGGCCTGCAGGCATACATGCAGATGGAAACGCTGTCTACATAACAAATTAAAAAAAAAATTTTTTTAAAGTACTACTATCAACCAAATAGTCTATTCTTCGCCGCTGCCCCCACCACCACAGGGTTTCTCTGCCATTTTGGAGGCTGTCCTGGAACTTGCTCAGGAGACCAGGCTGGATTCAAACTCAAAGACCTACCTGCCTCTGCCTCCGAGTGCTGGGATTAAAGGTGTGAGCCACCACCTCCCGACTTATTACCTACTCCTTTAACTGCATCTTGATTAAGAGTGGAATTCTTCAGTCCTTACCCTTTATCAGTCTCTGGGTGTGGTCCAGGCCACTGGACAGTGACACTTCCAGTCTCGGCTGCATTACTGTTTCCTTGCCCCTTCTTACAGAAATTACTTCCAGAGCCTGGGTAAACAGTATTCCTGAGTCTACCTTGACAATGCCACTCTCTACTTTTCACTGTTACCATAATAAACTGATAAGAGAGATTCAGGCCAGCTTTGGCTATTTAAGATTGTCTCAACTAAGCAGGGCTGTGGTTGGGTACGACTTTGATCCCAGCACTTGGGAGGCAGAAGCGGGCGGCCGATTTTAGAGGACAGCCTGATCTACATAGTGAGGTTCCAGGACAGCTAGGACTAAGTAGAGAGTCCCTTCCCTGTCACATTAAAAAAAATGTTTGTCCCAACTACAACAAATCAAACGCTTGTGAAACTGCTGTAGTCTTTCGCGTCTATTCTATCTCCGCGCTGGAGTGACTTCAAGCCTCTTAAATAAGAGTTGTTCCCTTCATCCCACACCCACAGCGCAACAGGGGCAGCCTACTCGGACCGAGGCTCGCTTGCTAGCTAGCAAAGGACCAACAAAGGGGTGGGCCGTTCTCTCTGGGAGGCAAGTGTAATGGATTAGGGTCTCCCGAGGTGCGCAAGCGTACGGCACGGGGGATCGTGGGCAGCAGGGCTCACGTCATTCTCTCATGTACCGTCGCAGGGAAGATGATAACAGATCTCCTGGCTCCTGTCCGCTTGTCCCTCCCTCGGAGCCATATGCTCGTCCTCGCCTCCGGTCCGCCGCCCGGAGCTCTGGCACGCGGCTTCTGCCCCGACGCACACGCGCGGGACCCAAGTTCCACAGCGGCTGCCGTCGCCCCGCCGTCCCCCACAATCCCTCCCCGCTCACCTTCAGGGCTCGTGTCCTCTCCTGACCCGAACCACTTGGGTTCGGGTGGCTGCTGCTTGGGACCCTTAGGCATCGCGGCGGCAGTTGCAAGTCCTCCGGAGATGTCTGGCGGTGTTTCCGCTTCCGGCGGCGTGGGGCCGCCAGTGGGCGGGCTCTCCATTAGATGCCCCGCCCCGCCCCGCCCCGCCCCCCGGCAACCAGGGTGCGCAAAGGCCTCGGACAAAGAGGCGTGGCAGTACTTCAGCCTTGGGGGCGTGGCTTGGGAAGACACGTGATTGCCTGGGGTGGGCAGCCTGCTCTGACCGTCCCCACGCCTGAGCTGCTGGTGTGGCGACGCGGTGACAACCAAAGAGCAACGTAATTTCTGGGTAGGAGGAAGTGGTGGAAGCATCTTTTATGTCTCCGAGTCACCCAAAGCTGGTCTGGAACTCTCTTGTGTAGATTGGGCTGGCCTCGGATCGGGCCCAGAGATCCTTCTGCCTTTGGCTCTAGAGTGCTGAGTTCAAGGCCTGTGTCGCCACATCCTGCTCTGAATGTTTCTGTTGTTGAGACAGGGTCTCACTATGTAGTACTTGGCTGGTCTGGAACTCCTAGTTTTCTCCTATGCCTCTTTAAGAAAGCTGGGATTACAGGTCTGCACTTTTACCCCTGACTGGTTGCTTCATTAAGACAGTAGATCTCTCTGATCATTCCCCACGACTTTCTAACCTCTTCTTTTTCATTTATTTATTTATTTTTGAGACAAGGTTTCTCTGTCTAGCAGTCCTGGAACTCCCTTTGTAGACCAGGCTGGCCTCAAACTGAGATTCGCCTGCCTCTACCTCCCCAGTACTGGGATTAAAGGCGTGTGCCACCATACTTGACCCTTTTCTTTTTAATACTACACACTGTAAATTATACTTAAAGACATCACAGCCTGTCAATTTAGGAAGCAGTAACCTTACTGGTCCTTGGTTGATATGTTACAAAATACCCAGATATACAGTTACACACAAGGAACTCCACCCTAACAACCAGAAACCACTGGACTGTTTTTTTTTTTTTGTTTGTTTGTTTGTTTGTTTTTTCTGAGACTGGTTTTCTCTGAGTAGCTTTGGCTGTTCTGGAACTGGCTCTGTACACCAGGCTGGTCTTGAACTCAGGGATCCCCACTGCCTCTGCCTCTTGCAAAGCATATGCCTTTTCAACCACAATCAAGATATGGCTGGCTTCTAACTAAAATGAATGACAGGTCTAGGAGCTTGAGTGAGTCATTTCTATAACTGGGTCAGCTCTCATCTTTAGTCATGCATATATATATATATATATATATATATATGTATATATATATATGTTTATATCTATTTATAGTTCAGGCTTGCCTCAAGTCCACTGAGTGGCCAAAGATGGTATTGAATTCCCCATTTTCTTGTCTCCATCTCCCTCCTGAGTATTTCAATCACACACCTATGTTGATATGCCTGGTTTATTTATGTTTTTAAAAAAATTTTTTTTTGTTTTTGTTTTTTGAGACAGGGCTTCTCTGTGGCTTTGGAGGCTGTCCTGGAACTACCTCTTGTAGACCAGACTGGTCTCGAACTCAGATCTGCCTGCCTCTGCCTCCTGAGTGATGGGACCAAAAGTGTGCTCCAACACCCAGCTTTAAAAAAAAAAAAAAAAAAAAAAAAAACTTTTTAAATAGGCTTATTTATTCTTGTTTTATATATACATTGGGATGTTTTGCTTGCTTGTATGTTTGCATGAGAGTATTAGATCTGCTACCTTGTGGGTTCTGGAAATTGAACCCAGGTTCTCTGGAAGAGCAGTAGGGGCTCTCAACTGCTGAGTCAGCTCTCCAGCCCCCGTTTACATGTTCTAATACTTGAGCCTAAGGTTTCATGCATACTATTAAAACATCCCACCATCTGGGCCACATTCCTAGTCCCCCATGATGCTCCTGTCCCAATTCACTTGCCAATACCCACACATCAGAAGCCAACACTTTGTCCTACTCTCCTAGCACACCTGACACAGTTGTCACTAGCCCCCCACCCCCAACCCCCATTTTTTTAATACACCTTTTTCTAGTGGACTGATCCTTCTCCCTCCTTTGCTGGCCTCTGCCCCCCCCCCCGAGGTCCAGATGTTGCACTTCCAAGCTCAATCTTTTTGACAGTCTCTAAAAATAAATTACTCATATGTGTTTTGCCTGCATATGTGCACTGAGTACATGCTTGGTGCTCTCAGGCCAGATGGGGGCGCCAAATCCCCTGGAAGTGATGTGGGTTCTGGGCACCAAATTCAGGCTTTTTTAACTGCAGAGGCATCTTCTCCAGCCCCAAATGCTTTCATTGTGATTGTTCCAAAGGTCAACTTTTCTCCACTACCCAAACCTATGCCACCATTGCAGCTTACCTGTGTCATTTTAGTAATTTAAATCTTCAATTCTGGGGCTGGAGACACATCTCAGTGTTTAAGAGCACATGGGGGCTCACAACTGTCTGTAACCCTAATCCCAGGAGCTCTGATGCATTCTTCTGACTCCATGGGCACCAGGCACATGTGTAGTGCATATACATACATTCAGGCAAAATATTTATACTCACAAAGTAATGAAATAAATTTTAAAATGTTTTTAAAAATCTCCATTTCCAAGTCTGTACCCCAATCTAAGGAGACAGGCATGTCCAAACTCAACAAGTCATTACACAGCTTGACATTGTTATCTACAAAGGTCACGTGGAAAACTACATGATTTGATTTACAAGGGGGAAGAAATCAAAATAATTGTGAGCAACTCTTCTGATTTAGCTTTTAGACCCAAATCCTAAGACTTACATCTAAGGTCTCCCATACTCCTCCCCCACTTCCTACTCCTCCTCCTGAGCACCCCTTAGACCTTGACTTCTTGCCACTGCCTCATCTGCTCCCCCCCAACCCTTTCCAGAGCGCAACTGTGCTGCTGGCTCAGATGAACTAAGTGGGGTTAGTGGTCTCCTAGCAGCCTCACCTGTACTTTAGAGATGACTACAACACGGAAATGAGGGAAAAATACTGGTTTCCATTGTGTTTATTTACTAATATAAAAAAAAAAATTAAAAAGAAAAAAACAACTCATTCCTCTTGCTCACACATCTCCGGACCTTCCTTAGGACCAGCTCAAAACCCAACATGCTCACTGCCGTTTTCACAGAAAACACCCAGCGTGAGAGAAGAGGGTCAGAGGTGACAGTACTGTCCAGGTTCTATCCTAAGACAGGCCAAGGCCAGGTGGAGATTCACAGAATGCAAATGAAAGAAAGGGCTGGTGGCCTCGAAATGGTAGGGCCTAACTAAAACAAGCCAGGCAGGAGCTGGGTGGTGAGGCCCGCCTGAGGCTTTACAAGACACCACTGGCCTGCATTAGACCCAGAAGACTGACGGCAGGATGGGGAGGCAGTCTAAGCAAGTCTCACATTCTCCCGTGCTGGGAGGTAGGTGAGGTCTAGAGGGCACCAAGAGCCTCGCTCAATTTGGCAGAAAAACGTTATCTAGTGTTGGGAAGTCACAAAAATGTCACGACAATGAGGAAGGCTATGAGGGATGCACAGTCTCACAAAGCACAGTGACCACAGGCCTTAGCAGTGGGGCTCATGCTACTGACAAGAAACTAGGGCATCCGAAAGCAGGGGAAGCTGTTGTGGGAGCAAGCCTGTACCAGTCGCTCAAACCTGACTCTGAGGCCAGACAACCTGGTGCATTTCCTGGGCAGCTCAAACACGGGGACGTCACATCAAAGGACTTCAACAAGCAGCTGAGGACAGAAGAATGCGCCAGGGGTTTCAGGGGCTGAGGGCAACACTGGGGGACAGGTGGACAGATGCACAAGAAACAGCACCAAAGGTTTCCTGTTCAGCAGTCATTTGGCAGAGGGGAAGATCCAGAAGGCAGTGGAAGGGAGCAAGATGGGGTCCCAGCGGTCTCTGGAGCCTTTCGGAAGACCGCACACCGCACACCAGTGACAATCACAACTCTGGACCCCAAACAGGGGAGATGATGAATGGGGAGGACATGTCACTGACTGAAGGTGATTGAAGAGCCTTCACATAGCTATAATGGGGCCATAAGGTCAGAGGGCTCCTTCAAGCCTGGGTGGGAAGGCACAGTCTCACAGAGGAGGTCCATTGACGCCTGGATGGTAGAAGGCACAAAGGTCTTCATATCGACAGTGGCCCTTTTTGGAGAAGTGTCGGCAGACAGGGCGGTCAGACTTGTCTGTGACAAATGAAAACAACAGCTTAGAACCTAGTAAGAGCTGGAGACAGGAAGACTGTCACAAAGTTTGAGGTCAATTTGTACACTGGTCCCCTCCCCAAAAAAACAAAAGCAGCTTTTCCTCCCCTACCCTCCAAAAATCCCAAGAAAGAGCATGAAACAGTACAGTGAAAAAGCCAAGGTTTCCACCACACACTGTTTTACAAGTATTTTTTTTTCTTTGTTTCTGGTGTTAAGAGGTAGAACACAGAGCCTCAGATATGCTACCAACTTGCTCATCCACTGACAAGACTCCCAGACCACCAAGTATTTTGGAAAGATATTCTTTCTGAGGGAAGAAAGATATTCAGGGACTACTTATATGCCAGCTAAGAGGCTGGCAGCTCAGTGGTGGAGGAGTCCTTAACCCAGGAAAGGCCAGACATTAATTCTTAGTGCTGCTCAGGGACAGCCCAAAAAAGAGACCAGGGCAAGCATGCAGGACAAGGCAAAAGCATAACAGGGCTAGCCTTACCTTCTAACATGTGGGGGCTGTCCTTGGGTGGGCAGATGTTCTTGGCAAAAGACCAGCTTTTGAGCCTTCGCGGATTTCTTGGCTCTGTATGAAAGCTTTCCCTAAAGGGAGCCCCATAGCCTGGCCTGGGAAAAGGAGGCTCAGTATTGACACCCCACCAACCACGACCATATGGGCTACATCTAGGACCAAGGCCTCCTCGAATAGGGCCTCTGCCCCGGGGAGGAGGTGGTAGGCTCAGCAGTGGTGGGATCACTGGTGCCCTTGATCCTGGAGGAACCCTGTGAAGAGCTACAGAAAGACAGGACGATGATTGCTAGGCAGCTAACCCTGACCAAAGCTCCTCCCCCACTAGCTGCAGCAAAGCATTCTGACACATCATCTAAGGACACATGTCAACTATCACATCTTTACCTGGGTTTCTATTACAGAACCCTGTGTATTATAGGCAATCACTGAGCTAAATCCCCAGCCTGACTTCTAACATCACAGACTGTGAATCATGCCTGGTTTTGAACTCTGGCTATCTTTAAGAATCATGAGATTTATCCAGGTTTGTCTGGAGTGGTAGTTTGTTAATTTTATTTGCAGTGTAGTGTTCTATCACATGCATTACAACTGACTTGTCTATTCTACTAATGTTGGACATGTGGGTATCCAGTGTGTGGCTATACACATTTTTACATGCATTACAAATTTTGTTCAGGTTAAATTGCTCCCTACTACAGTGCATTCAAGTCTGATCTTATGTTTGTGTACCACACTCTTGCCTGGTGCCTATGCAGGCCAAAAAAGGGCACTGGATCCCCTGGAACTGAAGCAGAAGCAATGAGCTGCCACGTGGGTGCAAAGAATGGAACTCAGGTCCTCTTGCAATAGTAGCCACAGTACTCCTAACCACCTGGCAACCGCTCTCTAGCCCCAAGGAAGAGACTTCTAAAATAATTCTATCTTATTTGTGTGTGTTGGCTTTGTGTGCACAGGTATCAAAGTGCATGCAAGTGTGACAGAGAGCAGCTTGTTGAATTCAGCTCTTGTATAAGTAAGGTGGGGCCCGAGGATTCAAGTTAGGTTGTAAGGTATAGTGGCAAGCACTTTAACCTGCAGAGCCATCTCTGCAAAACCTCGACTGTTTTTTTCTTTTTTTGAGACAGGGTTTCTCTGTGTAACAGCTCTGGCTGTTTCTGGAACTCGAACCTGTAGACCAGGTTAGCCTCAAACTCACAGAGATTCACCTGCCTCTGCCTCCTAAGCACTGGGACCAAAGGTATGCGCCGCCGCCGCCGCCGCCACCACCAAGCTCAACTATTTTTTTTTTTTTTTTCCTAGACAGGACTTTCTTGTATGGCTCTGGCTGGAACTATGTAGACCAGGCTGGCCTTGAACTCAGAGATCCTCCTGCCTCTACCTCCTGACTGTGGGCTTAAAGGTGTGTGCTATCACCCCAGCCTAGATCAGCTATTTTTTAAGTGTATGGTTCACGTGCTGTGAGAGTTGTTTGAACAAGCCCTTTCCTTACATTCCAACAGTCCCAGGATCCATACTGTTGTTTCTATGAATCTGAATTTAGATGACTTGTGCACTTTCTTAGTACAATATGCTCAAGGTTCACCCATGCTGTGGCACTAACTGCTTTTGATTCTTATAAATATAAATGTCAAAGTGAAACTGCTGGCTTCTATGGTAGTTCTCTACTTTCACTTTCTTTTCCTTTTGGTTTTTCGAGACAGGGTTTCTCTGTGTAGCCCTGGCTGTCCTGGAACTTGCTCTTTAGACCAGGCTGGGGCCTAGAACTCAAGAGATCTGCCTGCCTCTGCCTCCAGAGTGCTGGGATCAAAGACATGCAACAACACTACCTGCCTTTACTTTTACTTTCTTAAACAAGGTCTCTGTGTAGCTCAGGCTAGCCTCATAATTAGCATTACAGTTCTGCCTCACCCTCCAAAATTGTAGACATATGCTACCATGTGTGGCTTACTTTTGGTATTTTAACAAATCTCTATACTGCTCATTGTAAGTAGTTTATATGGCCTCATGGCTAGTTAGCAGTATTGTTAGATTAATACAAATTTGTATTATTTGATGTAGTTCATTTACATATCTTTCCTTTATGATTAGCATAAGTGCATGATGCATAGAGGCCAGAGATTGATAGGCTCTCATCGATCCTGGAACTTGCTGATTTAGCCACTCACAAGCCACCAAACCCTATCCTAGAGTCCTCCTATCTCTGCCTCATCACTGTGCTGTACCCAGCTTTTGACATGGCTGCTGAGGTCTGAAATCAGGACCCCATGCTTTTGATACAAGCACTTTTGTTTGCAAACTCTAGTCAGGGCCATGAAATATTTACATCCTTTTGTTTTACTCCTATTTATTTTACAGTATTACCACAAGGTCAAAGTTCATACTTGTACATAAATACCCAATTAAGGCATCATTACTTGTTGACAGAGCCACTTAGACAGGATCTCACGTATCCCAGGCTAGCTAGTGTTGACTTGCTTCGTAGGAGAGGCTGGCTAGGAGCTCCCGATCCTCTTGTCTTGTCTCTCAAGCATTACAAACGTACGTAGATTATTCTGTGAAAACCCCAATGTCATAGCTACTGTAGTTTACACCAAATCTTTAAATGTCATCCCACTTTGGGTCATCTTGGTAGCATCCCACTGAAAGCCTCTATGTTTCCCTATGACGAGAATGTTTATCTCTACACAAATGGAACAGACACAGAGTGACTGTGAAGGCCTCAGACCTAGGAGCGAATCTGGAAGTAAACCGACATTTAGACAATACCGTGTTCCCAAATGGTAAATACACGACCACTGGTTAAAACATAACCCCTGGACTTTTGTTTTAAAAGTCTGTGATGAGCTTTTTTCCATCCCTTCGCCAGGACTTAGAACCAGCACACACATCAGGGCCCGATTCTCCTCACCTGACTTGGGATCACCAGGCTTTCCATTAGCCATGGGGGGAGGGCCCAGAAGGCTGGGTGGTCCTAAGAGCAGATGTGAAAACACAAGTCATCAGACTGCGCAAAGGACTGATCATCATATCTCGTTCTTGTGTGGTCTTAGTAATCACTTTTTTTTAAAAAATAAAAACCAGTAAAGTCAGATATATCCACTCAGCAGAGCCGCAATCTCTCACCCCGTCCATCTGCCCGTCCCTCTGCAGAGTTGTTCGAGAATGAGCAAAACAGTGGAGATCCCATCAGAGTAACAGGTCTCTTGTGGGAACCCACACAATTCGCCATTACAAGATGGCGCCGAGGACTGTTGTAAACAACCCTGTTTTGGCGCGTGCCCTCCTCGAGTCTGCCTGGCAACAGCTATGCACCAATCCCAGACTGACTGGTGTCCTTTCAGGAAGGAACGCCCATCCTGCCTAGATATAAGCCGCTCCCTTCCTTGCTTGCGTGCCCCTCATCTCCAGCTCTCCCTCAATCAAGAAGTGCTTCAATAAAGTGTGATCAGAGAAGGATCCTCATGTCGGTGGTCTTCTTCCCCTGCGGGTCAGGGGCGCGCCACAGCTGGGGCCGAAACCCGGGAAACTGCATTCAGCGGACACTAGTGAGGGGCCAAAAAGGATCCAGAACTCTACACACGAAGCGGCGACGTCGGTAAGTCCTCTCAGGTATGTTGATTGGCGGGGTTAATCCTGGTGTGTACGCTCTAATTTTTATCTGTATAGTGATTGTGGTTCTTTTCTGCTGTTTTTGGTTGCGGTGTCACAAACCCGGTGAGGAGTGCCTTTGCTGGGTGTAAAGTGAAAGTAAGACCGTTGTAAACAAAGCGGCGTTTCTTACCATATTGTAAGTCCCTCGTAAATAAGTGGGCAATATGGGTAATAACTTGGGTGCCGGTCCAGGAGCCTGTGATTTCTTTGGCCCGATACAGAGCCTGTTAAAAACAACGAGGCTTAAAGGTATCTTCGGGCACAATACATACTATCGTCAAGGATTTCGACAAGATAGCGCCCTGGTTTGCAGTCTCCGGCGACCTCACTCTTGGTTGCTGGGAGAAACTTGGGAAAGATCTAGAGACCGCTAAGCAGGAGGATCGGCTTGGTAAGGGAACGCTTCCTCTATGGAGGCTGGTACATTCATGTCTCAGAGACGGCAGAAATATGGATCTGATTAAGCAAGGACGTAGAGTGTTAGCTGAGCATCAGGACAGCCTATCTGAAGCCGAGTCACTAGGAGAGGGGAAAGAAAGGCCTAAAAACAATAAGGATAAAAAGGAAAAGAAAAAAACTATATCCAGGATAGTAAAAGTGAAGGGTGGAATATAACAAAAAACCCTTTGTATCCAGTACTGGATGAATTTGCTAATTTAGAACTTTCAGAAAATGAAGAAACAGATAAAGAGGAACTAACTGGGCAGGAGGAGGAGGAGTTAGAGGAGGCCGCTACAGGGTATGAGGAAGAAAGATATGAACAGCGGCCAGGACAGACTTTTGCCAAGTCAAGTGTGGGACCTATGGCGCCTTTGGCTCCGCACTGTCTTGGCTCCACCCCCTTATCGTCCTTCCGGTGGAGGATGTCACTTTATTAGTGGGAAGGCCTGGGCGTGTCTTGCGTCCGCATTTCCGGTGTTTCAAGATCCTCAGACCGGCAATAGATATCATGAACCTGTCTCATATAAGCAGTTGAAAGATCTTGTGGAGGCATCAAAGGCCTATGGAGTAAATGCTAATTACACTCTTACATTGTTGAATAGAATTGCCAATCAAGCTCTCACGCCGTCAGATTGGTTTGAGATTGCGAGAGCAAGTCTATCCACGGGACAATATTTGGATTTTAGATCTATTGTCACCGATGCGGCCCATGTGCAAGCTCGGTTAAATGCCCAGAATCAACACCAACATTGGACTGCAGATATGCTCTTAGGACAGGGACAGTGGGCAGCAAATCAAACGGCTTTTCCGATAGAAGTTTATGCACAAATAAATGATATTTACCAAAGGGCTTGGAAAACTGCCCAACAAAGGGGAGATCTCTGGAAATTTAACAAAGATCATCCAAGGACCTAACGAACCATTTTCAGATTTTGTGGCTAGAATGTTGGAAACTGCAGGAAAAATATTTGGAGACATGGAAACAGCCATGCCCCTAGTCCAACAGTTAGTTTTTGAGCAGTCTACTAAGGAATGTAGGTGGGCTATCACTCCCTGGAAAGGAAAGGGATTAGAGGCCTGGCTAAGGGCATGTAGAGAGATACCTGAAAACCCTGAATGATTTTCAACAATTATTGGGGGATATTAATTGGTTGCGGGGATAGTTGTCTATTTCCCGCCATGAGTTTCAGCCCTTATTTTCCATCTTAGAAGGCAATCCAGATGTTAATTCCCCCCAGACACTTACCCCCCTAGGTGAAGTTGCAATTCATAAAGTTGAAGCTGCTATTGAAAAGGCGAGTCTAGATAGATTGGATCCAGGAAAGCCTTTGAAATTATGCATCTTAAAAACACAAACTTATCCCACAGGTGTATTGTGGCAGGAAGGTCCTCTTTGGTGGCTTCATGGTCACTCACTTGGAGCAAAGACAGTACAACATTACCCTACCTTAGTGGCTATCCAAGCATTGATAGGGTTAAAATTTAGCCTCATGCATTTTGCAAAAAATCCAGATGTTTTAATTGTCCCCTATACCAGGCAATAGGTTGGAGTACTTGCAGGAATAATAGATGATTGGGCAATTTTAATGTGTGCCTTTTCTGGTATAATAGATAATCATTATCCTAAGAGTGATTTATTATCATTTGTTAATAAAGATTTAGTTTATTTTCCTAAAATAACCTCCACTATGCCCTTGGTGACTGCCATTACTATATTCTCTGATGGGTCAAAAACAGGCAATGGGGCTTATGCAGTTCAAGGACAAGAACCCGTAGTTTATAATTTTCGCCCTGATGCACCTCAAGTGGTGGAATGTCAAATGGTTTTAAAGATTTTTGAAAGATTTGATGAACCTTTTAACTTGTTCTCAGATTCATTATATGTGGTCAATACGGTTGCCAATTTGGAGGTTGCTGCTAATATTCATCCATCGAGTATGGTAGCACCTATTTTGGTACAAATTCAAAATTGTATTTTAAATAGAAAACATCCCTTCTATATAGGACACATTCGGGCCCATTCCTTACTCCCGGGACCAATGACGGCCATGAATGATTTAGTGGATAAAGCAACAAGGTCTACAATTATGACCGCATTGGATCCTTTGGAATCCGCAAAACAATTTCATCGCTTATACCATGTTCCCGCTAATACCTTAAGGTTAAAGTTTCATATTTCTCGGAGCACGGCAAGAGATATATAGTGAAGAATTGCATGTCATGTGTTCCTTTTCATCATCCGCCGCATATTGGCGTAAATCCTAAGGGCCTAAAACCACTATCCCTATGGCAAATGGATGTTACACATGTACCTGAATTTGGAAAATCTAAATATCTCCATGTGTCAGTAGACACATGTTCGGGCATTATACATGCCATGCCATTATCAGGAGAGAAGGTTTCTCATGTGAAAACCCACTGCCTTGAAGCCTGGGCAGCATGGGGCAAGCCACACAGAATAAAAACGGACAATGGTCCAGCTTACACCTCTCATGGCTTCCAAGAGTTCTGTGCTCGCCTTGAAGTTTACCATACCCTGGGATTGCCATATAACCCCCAGGGGCAAGGTGTTGTTGAGAGAGCCAACAGGACAATTAAGGAATTGCTACAAAAACAAAAAGGGGGAATAGCAGAACATGCTACCCCACGAGAAAGAATATCCTTAGTCCTCTTTACACTTAATTTTTTGATTTTGAATGACTCAAATCAGACTGCTGCTGATAGACATACACAATCAGTCTCGGTTCCACAAGTACAGGTTATGTGGAAAGATGTATTGGATAACAAATGGTATGGACCGGATCCTGTTATTCAGAGATCCAGGGGATCTGTTTGTGTTTTCCCGCAGGACCGTACGGATCCAATTTGGGTTCCGGAGAGGCTGATTCGAAAAATCGACAATGAAGAGGAGAAGGATGTCAGCACTGATGATATTCTGGAGGAAAAGGATGATGCTGTGGTTACTAATCCATCTGACCCATGCCAATGAAGAATATTTTTGGTCATTTACCCGAACATGGCCAATACCTGTGCCTGTACATAATGTATCCTCAATCTTCCCTCAGTTCTATTCTACCCTTTGCCATTTTGGGGTCCCCTGCAAAGCGAAAGACAAAGTTAATGAGGAACAACAGGCGTTTAATCAATCTCGAGTACCCCTGCAAGGAACGCTCTGTTTTTCTAAAGATACCAATGCGTCCCCTTGTGTCCTTGTGCAAAGACAGGTGTTGTCAGCATTTGAAGACCCATTAAGATCCTTGACCCTAGATTTAGAGGTAAAGATGTTGCATGAAGCATTGTCTCAAATAGCATCAGGCGCTTTAGTGGCTCAGGTACCGGAACTAATGGCAGCCCGGTGATTAATGTCACTACATATTGGATGAATGACTTTTATTGCCCCAAAAATTAGTAGGCATAATAGCTATGGGTCATACAACGGATCTAAGCCCACACATCTTTGTCCCAATGTGTTTTCTGAATATCCGCCTGAATTTCTTGATTGTAGAGGAAAATATGATAAAATAGTTCCCATCTCATCAGGACTTTGGTTTACGCCAGATTTGATGATATATCAATATAAGAATAATTCCACAAAAACGGGTTGGCCCTTATCGTCCTGGATCCTCATTAATTCCAAGGGTGCTGCTTGTGACCTCTCGCCATTAGTTAATCTAGAGGATAGTAAAGTGGAACTTTACAATGTAACTGGAAGTCTGAACACCACCTACAAGAAGCTTACAGTATCATGGGCACACAAACAACATGATATTTCCTATCCCAGAGGCAGGGTATGTGTAGATCCACCATTTTTGTTTTTGCTTTTTAATTATTCTCAGGACTTGGTTGATTGTGAGAACCAGACTTGTGTCATCAGTCAATGCTGGGGTGCTGAATATTATAACTCAGCATTGGTTATGCGTCTGCCAATTTTTGTACCTATTCCTGTAAAGGCAGACCCAAGCAATTTTCCTATAGCCACTCTGTTCAGACAAAAAAGGGACTTTGGTATTACAGCAGCCATAGTTACGGCTATAACCGTCTCTGCAGCCGCTGCGGTTACTGCCGGAGTAGCTATGGCAAATCAAGTACAGACCGTTCAACAAGTTAATGAGGTGATACAAAAAACTTCTAGTACTCTTTATGTTCAAGAGAAGGTAAATACTCACTTGGCTTCAGGAATACTTATGCTCAATAAGAGGATAGACTTATTGGAAGAGAACATACAAGATCTTTTTGATATTATGACAGTGAGTTGTGTGGATAGAACCCCGCACATTTGCATTACACCTTATCCCGCCTCCCTTAATGAGTCTAAACAGCTATCTTGCATTTTAAGTGGAAATTGGTCTAGAGAATTTGAACAGCTTCAAGCTAATTTTACCTATCGCATTCAAGTGCTTAATGATACTAGGGTCGAGTTAGTCACCTTGGGACAATTTTCAGATTGGATGGTGAAGACATTTTCCTATTTTAAGGAATGGATCGGAGTCGGTATGTTCGGCATGTTTTGCCTGGCAGGCATGACTTTAGTCCTGTTCCTGATCTGTAGGATGGCGATTCGTCAGAAAAAGGGAAAAGGTTGCCATTGCTCGAGCCTTGACAGCCCTGGAGGCCGGCCAAACTCCCCAAGCTTGGATCAGTATTTTTCAAGATCTCTAGTCTAGTGTCCATGCACCCGGAGGCCTTGTTGCCATTGTACCCGGTGGGACTAGATGGCCGATGAAGTCTAGTGCCTATGCACCCGGAGGCCTTGTTGCCATAGCACCCGGTAGGGCTAGATGGCTGTTGAAGCAGTCGGTCAGAGACTATTCCGGATAGTTTGCACCTGAGAGTGCACTGAGCCGATCCACTCAGGGGAACAAGATGTCGAGCATATAGGTTGCTCTCGTAATCGTCCTATCTCTGGAAAAAGAGTAGCGCACTCAACAGGGCGGCGTCCTCTGTTCCCAGCTATGACCGATGATGCCTTAATAAAATAAAAGGGGGAAGTGTGGGAACCTACACAATTCGCCATTACAAGATGGCACCGAGGACTGTTGTAAACAACCCTGTTTTGGCGCGTGCCCTCCTCGAGTCTGCCTGGCGACAGCTATGCACCAATCCCAGACTGACTGGTGTCCTTTCAGGAAGGAACGCCCACCCTGCCTAGATATAAGCCGCTCCCTTCCTTGCTTGCGTGCCCCTCATCTCCAGCTCTCCCTCAATCAAGAAGTGCTTCAATAAAGTGTGATCAGAGAAGGATCCTCGTGTCGGTGGTCTTCTTCCCCTGCGGGTCAGGGGCGCGCCACAGTCTCTTAAAAGCTCTTTCCTCACAGTGCTGCATCCACAACATGCCCAGTGATTTCCACATACTCCAATCCCTCACCTTAACTGTTGGCCCATCATATGTTTTTTTCTTCTCTCCTTCCCTCGGGGGAGTAGGTTCACAGAACGCTGCACTTTCACCTAACCAGTGGAAGTGTGGTCACAAATTGTCTTCCCATTCATCACAATCTGTAAATCGCTGCTGCTGCCCCTCTTCCCCCGCCATTCTGCGGCTGCGCAAGCCACCTGTTCAGCCGCCACCTCCCCTGCCTTCTCCAAAAAGGGTTAGGAGCCAGACTGAGATTGAGGGTTCAAGCAAGCGAACTCCTCATTCAAGCTTCCACCAGCAGCCCTCCCCTCCCCCGTCCCCACCCTACCCCTTCTCCACGCGTGCGCCCTTCCTCCTTCCGTTAGACCCTCCCTCCCCCGCACCTCGATGCTCGCCTAGCCCCTGGCCCGCTGACAGGCGTGTGCACGCCCTCCCCCTCACCAATGGGGCTCTCATCCTCCTCGTCCCCGGGTTCGTCCCGGTCCGACAGGGCGGGCTGTTGTGGCAGCTGCTGCTGCTGCTGATTCTGCTTCTTTCGTTTCGGCATCGTGGCTGCGGCAATGGCTGCAGCAAGATTTGGAGGGCAGTGAGGAAGGGGCACACTAGATTTGTTTCCGCTTCCGGATGGGCAGCGGGCCGGTAGACTTGAGAGTTTCGCCTCCCCACTTCCGGCAGGTTGTGGATCCGCGGCAGTATGCTCCTCCAAAGGGGGAGGGGAAACCCGCTCGCCCCGCCGCTCACCGGGCGGCTTTGCTTGCTTGCCCAAGTCATCTTTTCCCCACATGGGAGAGCACCCCGGCCGCGTTACCGTGAGACACACACCTGACAAACTTGGGTCCTCCGGAGGCATGCGAGGAGCCCGTCGCACCCTAAGGTCGCCACATCCGGTCCCCCGGTCACCATGGCAACGCCCGCAGCCACAACTTGGTACTCTCTGACCTCTCTCCAAAAGTCCTTGTCCCGCTTGCGTCTCCTCCGCGCCCATGCTCGCTCGCCCGCTCACACGAGCGGCCGGTGAGCCTGCCTCTTAGCACCCTCCTTCTCCTCCTCCTCACCGAGTGCACGCGCCATAGGCCAGCCTGCCGGGAGACAGGCGGCGCGACCGCGCAGCTTCGGCTCCCACGCCGGGGGCCGTCCCTGGCGGCTGCCTCGCGGCGGGGCGTGTCCTCGCCCCGGCCCCGCCCCCGCCAGGTGAGTGGCAGCTCCTGGGAGCTCCAGGAGGGTGCTGATGACACTGGTCCCTCCCGCCACTGCCACTTGGTAGCGCCCGTGACGGAGTCGGCCCCGGGCCTCCCCCGCGCGCCTCCCGCTCGACGCCCCGCGCCGCGCACCCCGGAGCCGCGGCGGGCTCTCACGTGCCGCTCGCATCCCGGCCTCCCCGCCGCCCGCTCGCCCGCCCGCCCCTGACGTCACCGCGGCCCCGCCTCCCCAGGGCCCCGGGCCGCCGGCGGGGGCCGCCCGGGGGAGTCAGTTGCGGCGGCGGCAGCGGCGGCGGCGGGGAGCTCGGCGAAGGGCGCGCCGGGGCTCCGGGGGCCATGCCGAGGAAGAAGCCCTTCAGCGTGAAGCAGAAGAAGAAGCAGCTGCAGGACAAGCGAGAGCGGAAGCGAGGTCAGGGAGGGGGCGGGGCCGCTGCGCAGCTCGGGAGGAGGGGTGTGCCGCCGCCGCCGCACCGCGGGCCCGGTTAGGTGGGGGGGGGGGGAGCGGGTTCTCGCGATCCCGCGTGGGCTGCCCCGGTAGGGGGGTTCCTCGCAGCGGCGCGGGAGTGTACGGGGGCTGGGGGAGGGGAAGCTCTGCTGCCGCCACCGGGCGCCGTGACGACCTCCCGGGCCCACCCGGGAGAGAGGGGACTGGGGCGCTGGAGCGGGCGGGCGCGCGCGGCTGAGAGAATGGAGTCTCCGAGAAGTTGGGGCGGCTGCAGAAGAGCTTGTCCCTCCCCGATCGGGGCGGAGGTGGAGGGCTTTAGGTATCCCGAGAACCGGTCTCCACACTGGCGTCACCGGTGCTTCCCCTCAGGGCTTCAAGATGGGCTTCGCTCCAGTTCCAACAGCCGCAGCGGGAGCCGGGAGCGGAGGGAGGAGCACACCGACACCTCGGATGGAGAATCCGTGACCCATCATATCCGCAGGCTCAACCAGCAGCCTTCCCAGGGGCTGGGACCGAGAGGCTACGATCCCAACCGGTGAGCGGAGGAGGGCGTTATCTTTGCGCTTCCTTGAGGAAAGCTGGGCAAGGCTTGGTTGAAAGTGGAGCTAGCGAGGCCGGTAGCCACCTGGTCCTCTCGGGATGGGCCACATCTTGCTTTCCCAGAGGGGCTGTTTGTTTTTGTGGTGAGGGGGAGCTTCCCAGAGGAGACCTGAACAGCCAGGGGAGGGGGCTTTGCGAAGTTGGCTGCTTTGGAGACGACAAGATCGTGGTCACAGGACTCTCACTAGGTGTATGGTCCCTCTTCCCTTAGATACCGGCTGCATTTCGAACGGGACAGCCGGGAGGAGGTGGAGAGGAGAAAGAGAGCGGCCAGAGAGCAAGTGTTGCAGCCTGTTAGTGCTGAGATGCTGGAGCTGGATATCCGGGAAGTCTATCAGCCTGGCTCAGGTGATCGACGGCTGCTTGGTGTTTGCCATCAGCCAGGGGAACTAGCTGACTGGGAGGAAAGGAAGGATCTGAGATGCATGATTGAGTTTGAAAAAAAGTCCTAGCAGGGTGGTGGTCAAGATTATACAGAGAAACCCCGTCCTGAAAAACTTAGGTAGGAAAAAAAGCCTGGGCAGTGGTGGTCCACATCTTTAATCAGGAGGCAGAGGCAGGCGTATCTCTTAGTTTAAGGCCAGCCTGGTCTACAGAGTGATTTCCAGGACAGCCAGGACTGTTATATAGAGAAACCCTGTGAAAAAGAGGGTTTTTCCTCATTTCCCAGTATTGGACTTTCCCCGCCGTCCTCCTTGGAGCTATGAGATGTCCAAGGAGCAGCTAATGAGCCAAGAGGAGCGGAGCTTCCAGGAGTATCTTGGGAAGATACATGGGGCATACGCTTCAGAGAAACTCAGCTACTTTGAGCACAATCTGGAGGTGACAGTGGATTGGGGGCAGAAGCGTGTGGTCCTAAGTAATGTTCTGGGCTCAGGCAGGAGGACTCCAGGCCAAATCCCCTTCTGATCTTTGCAGACATGGAGGCAGCTGTGGCGGGTGCTAGAGATGTCTGACATCGTCCTGCTCATCACTGACATCCGACATCCAGTGAGTGATTGGAAAGGTCCATAAGAAAGATTCTAGAGGGGTGGGGGGTGGAGGTGGGAGGGGTCAAAGGCAGGAGTGGGGAGATAGAAGTGTTATGACATTTCTGACAAGCATGTGTCCAGGTGCTTGCCATTCCACTTCTAGAACATATGTTTGGAATTGTGAAGCCAGAGGTCAACCTTGGATGTGTTCCTCAGAGGATGATGCCACCTTGTATTGTGGGATGGGATCTCTTACTGGCCTGGAACTTAACAAATTGCCCTTGGGATCCTCCTTTCCTGGTGCTGGGGTTACAGCCCCTTTCTTCCTTTTTCTCTTTTCATACCTTGGGTTAAAGTTTTTAGTCTGGTTGGGCGGTGGTGGTACACGCCTTTAATCCCTGGCAGGCGGATCTCTGAGTTCCAGGCCCATCTGATCTACAAAGCTACACAGAGAAATTCTGTCTCAAAAAACAAACAAACAAAAAAGTCTTTAGTCAGAAGTTCTTTTTGTTTTTTTCCCTTTTTGTTTTGCTCTGTTGGGTCTTACCTGAGCTTTACCACTGAGCTGCACCCCCCCCCCCAGCCTGAGAAAGTCAGTGTTTATCTATCTCTTGTCAGAGCCTGCCATTCCTCTGCTGGCCAGCTCACATGCACATACACCTCATGTTCCCAGTCTTCCAGAACTAGACCAATGGAAATCCCGGTATCAAACTCCAGAGTTGGAAGGCAACTGGGGGCTTCTTGGGCTCAGTCCAAAGGTGCCTTTCTTCCTCCTCTCATTTCTCTAGCACAGTGTCATTGCCACAGATCCCGCCTGGAATGCTAGTGTAGTGGGTGAGGCTATAGACCCCTGCTGGACAGCCCTGTGAATCCAGATTTCCCGACTGCCACCTCATTGATGCCTTCCAGTGGAGAAGGGGAGGTATACGTGGACATTTAGGTTGGAAGTCCTCGATGCATGCACACATGTACTTCCACATGCACCGTCACATGCACGCATGATGTTCACAGTCATACACACTTAACACAAATGTGTACCCAAGTGCATATACTTTCGTGCATGTGGCTGTGCACTTGTGTACACTTACATAGTTATGTGCACATGGAAGTAGGTGCCACTTATCCAGCCCCCATTCCTGTCCCTGTTCTAGTCTTTACCTCAGTGTGCCAGGCATTGTGGTATTTTCTATTCATCTCTCTCGTCATGACATGCAGGAGGCACTCTGAGACTTGCCTGGGTTGTCACTAACACCTGCTTTTGCCTTACTTGTTCAGTGTGGCTGGTGAACTGTCTTTGACCTTACTATATCTACTTCAGCCAGGGACTTGCGTTTTGTTGTGCCTGGTGATGGGGGAGCTGGAGCCAGCAACCTCTGGGTTCACTTCTCGTCATTCTGTCTTCTTACCAATTCTGTCACAGGTTGTGAACTTCCCACCAGCACTTTATGAGTACGTAACTGGAGAACTTGGACTGGCCCTAGTGCTGGTCTTGAACAAGGTGGATCTGGCTCCTCCGGCTCTTGTGGTTGCCTGGAAACATTATTTTCACCAGCACTACCCCCAGCTCCACATTGTCCTCTTCACCTCTTTCCCTCGGGACACCAGAACTCCACAGGAGCCTGGTGGTGGTAAGTGGGCTGTGGAGAGGGTGCTGTGGGTGAGGGGAGCATGCGGTGGAGAGGATGCCGTGGGTGAGGTGAGTGGTACAGGTCAGTGAACAGAGAAGCCTTTTGGCAAAGGAACCTGATTTATGGCAGAAGAGATGAGATGCATCTTCACCCTCTTATCTCAGTCTTGAAGAAGAATCGAAGGCGGGGGAGAGGATGGACTCGCGCCCTGGGGCCAGAGCAGTTGCTGAGAGCCTGTGAAACCATCACTGCTGGAAAAGGTGTGTGGCCTTGAAGGAGCTATGGAAGGCTTTGTGTGCAGCTAAAGGGTTCACTTCTCAATATCCTTCTGTTACACAAGTTTTAGGAAGGTGTTGAGATAAGGAGAAACCTCTGATAGGGGAAGGATAGCGTCAGGAAGTGGATAGGAGCCTCCATGGCTTGATGCCCCTAGTCTTAGCTGCTCTGATTGAGAGAAGTCTGTAACTCCAGAGTGGGGTCCAGTACAGGGGGGTGGGAGGGCTCTAGTCTTCTCCAGTACACATGTGCATGCTGTGGTTTCTAGGAATGCTGGTGACGTAAGCTATGCATTATCCATAGTGGCTCCCTTTATCTTCTTCGAGCAGTGGACTTGAGCAGCTGGCGTGAGAAGATTGCTAGGGATGTGGCCGGGGCCTCCTGGGGTAATGGCTCTGGGGAGGAGGAAGAAGAGGAAGATGGGCCAGCAGTCCTGGTAGAGCAGCAGACTGACTCAGCGATGGATCCCACAGGCCCCTCCAGGGAGCGCTACAAGGACGGAGTGGTGACCATCGGCTGTGTGGGTAAGGATGCAGTGGCCTGCCTTAATGGCCTCCTAAGCAGTTTTTCAGTGTTTGTGGAAGAGGGACCTAGGCCTATTTGGGCTGCAGGTTCTTCAAGGGAAGAACCCTGCTCTTGGTTCTGAGGTAACCGAATAATTCTGTCTCTGCTGGGCAAGTCCTTAAGCTGTTGAGTT